GTAACACCCATCTGGATTCTGGGGCTGGACTTCCCAGGTGGAGATCGTGGCTTCTGCACTCATAGCTATGTGACCTTGGCCAAATTTCTTGCCTTCTTTTTGCCTCTGTTTCTTTATGTGTAAAAGGAGAGCATAATAACTCTTCTTGTAGAGTTACTGTGAAGATTAAAATAAATTCATGTGCATCGTTTAGAATAGTGTCTCTCACATGATACATACTCAGTAAGGCTGCTGTAGTAATCATTGTAAGTGCTTATTAGTTGTTATTATTACTAAAGGAACTACTGGTGGTGTGCCAGCGTGCCTGGCAGGTGGAGGCGTGATTAGGTCTGAATCTGAAGGGGGTGGGGTAAGAAGGCTTCAGGAGTTGGTGCCAGCCTCGCAAGTTTAAGACTTTATCCCCCAGGTAATGGGAAAGTGGTGGAAGGGTTTTTCGAAAACAACTTTTTGTTACAAAAAATGTCAAAATATAGAGAAGTTGAAATAGCAGCACAATGTCCACCCTTATTCCTGCCATCTAAACACAATCTGAACATTTCACCACATCTGCTTTATCTTTCTCACCCTATCTTTTCTCTTTTTGTGTTGCCTTTTGTGGAACCATGTGAAAGTAAGTTGCAGACATGATGACACATCACCTCTAAACACTTCCTTCCACTTGCATCTCCCAAGAATGAGGACATTCTCCCACACAACACATTGTTGTTCCACCTAAGAAAATTAATAATTGATAATAATTCACAATATCCTGTCACATCCAGCTGTGGGAAGATTTTAAGTGGGGCGTTAGACAAGGCATTGTGGCTGCCATGTGGAGGCTGGCTGGAAGGGGGCCGAGGGCAGGTAAATATCCCCCTGGTAGTGCAGGTAACAGATGCTGAAGCCCGACCTAGAGTGATGTGGGGACACGAGGGCTGTTTGAGGTACCTACAGGTCTCCCATTGAACATGGTGGCAGGGATGGTGGGTCAGTGAAGCCTTCCAGGAGGAGGTGCCAGACCTAACAGCTGAGTGTTGTAGGATCAGGAGACCTGCAGGAAGCAGATTGTGGGCAAGAGTGGGAGGATTCATTTGACACATGAATCTTAAACATCTACTGTCATGATTCCGTTTATATGTCAACTTGACTGGGCCATGGGTTGCCCAGAGATTTGGCTAAACATTTTTCTGGGTGTGTCTGTGAGGGTGTTTTTGGATGAGATTAACATTTATTTATTTATTTTTTAAAGGAGGAGAGAGAGAGTTGGGGAGGGGTCGACGAGGGAGAGGGAGTCTTTTAAGCAGACTCAGCACTGAGCTCAGAGTCTAACCCAGGGCTGACCTGAGATCATGACCTGAGCCAAAACCAAGAGTCCGATGCTTAACCGACTGTGCCACCCAGGCGCCCCTGGATGAGATTAACATTTAAATCGGGAGACTGAGTGAAGCAGATTGCCCTCCTTAATATGGGTGGGCCTCATCCAAGCACTTGAAGTCCTGAATAGAACAGACTGACCCTCCCCCCGAGTGAGAGAGGATTCTCCTGGCTGATGGCCTTCAGCCTGGGACATTGGCTTTTCCTGGTTTGACGTTGACTCAAACTGGGACATCTGCTCTGTGAGATTTCAAACTTGCCAGCCTCAATAATCACATGAGCCAATTCCTTATAAATAATGTACACATATGAATATAACATATATATATATTCTCTCTGTATATTCTATTGGTTCTGTGTCTCTGGGGAACCCTAATGCATCTACTATATGCTAAGCATTCTGTCATGGTGCAGAGACCATGACATGCAAACATGACACAGACTTTCATGGAGTGCGCTACTCAGAGCTGTTTGCCCGGACTCTGCGGTGAGTGGTGGGAGATGGGATGGAGGGTGGGCAGGGGCCTTGGAGGAGGGAGTATGGATTTTGTTCCATAGGCCAGTGCTTTCCAAATGTCAGTACCACTTCCATGATTTTTGTCATATTCACATCTCAACTGCATTCTTCTTTGATACATTTAAAAATATCAGTTTTATGCCCATTCCTTTTTAAAACTGTTTAAGCCACAATACCTATAAAATTACGGGATTTTTTTTCTTTACACATGAAAATAAATATTAAATCATTACAATAAAAAGATGTTGGCCCATATACTGCTTCAAATAATTTCACAGTTTTCCTACATTTGGGGAAAGTTGTCATGAGTGACAGGGTAGGGGTGGGATATCAGATCTGGAGGTTTAGGCAGGAACATGCCATGCTGAGATTAGGTTTTGGAAAGATTCACTGGCTGTTGAGTGGTAAATAGGTTGGAAGATAGGGAGACGTGCTCGGAATTCTGGCCGTTGTCCAGGGGAGCTCTGATAAGAGCCTGAAGCAAGGCTGTGCAGTGGGAATAGAGAGGAGGGGACAGATGAGAGGGGGCATTCAGAGGTCGAATTTGATAGGATTTAGAGAGTGGCATGGGATTGAGGCAGGAAGAGGAGTCTAGGTTGGCTCAGTGATGGTTTTGGTTTGGTTGCCTGAGAAGACAGACGTGCGTTCACAGAGGCAGGGAGCCCAGGAGAGGCTAAGGTCAAGTGCAAAGAGCAGGATATGCCAAGCAATGGTTAGAGGCTGCAGAATTTGACTACAGTTTTAGCAATGATGCTGTGAAGTTCATTGCCCCTTAATAGCACACCCACACTTTAAATTAAATTAAAACATTTTTAGTTTAACTCTTCTGAGTGGACCCACACATGTATTTTCTGCTACTTATTACTGAGAATGACTAAGTATTATAATTGAGCTGAAAATAATCTCCCGCCCATACTTGCTGGGTTGGTTTCTAAGTATTGCTTGGGTTTTTATCTACTGAAACAAAGTTGTGCTCTTTCCAAATGTTAATTTTGAAGACTGCAGATGGTAACCATCTGTTACACGACTAGCATTTTACAATATTTGATTAGCACTTTATATAGTTTGGGGAAGCCTGCCAGTGGAGTCTGCCCATCAGGTGGGGACTTCAGTGGTATGTCCTCTGTGGTGGCCCTTGAAGGTCTTTGCCCCCATTGTATGGGGTTCCCCTGTTTTTTGGGGGGCTTTAGCACAGCTAGTCAGACTGGCAGGTTGATGATTTGTGGCAGGAGAACCATACGGGCCTTGCCGTGTTTGCACTCCTTCTTAAAGCTAGAACCATCAGACCTCATCGTGGAAGCAGAATTTGGGAGGTCAAGACCTGTCCATCAGTTAGGACTCTTTGGGTTGCAAGTGACAAAACAAACCCAAGCCCCTTTTCTTTGGCAAAGGGCATTAATTGAGTCAGGTCATTAAAAAGTCTAGAGGTAGGACTGCCTTCAGGTGGATGGTTGTAGGATTCAAACGAATTCTTCAGACTTGGTTCCTCTCACACTCTCAGCTCTGCCTGCTGCTGTGTGGCTTCACTCTCAGGCTTCCAGAGGAAGCAAGATGGCGCCCCCGAGAGAGGAGCAAATCCCCTCAGCAGCAAGTGTAGAGGGAAAGAACGGAGGCCTTCCCGGTCACCTCTGCAGAGGTGGTAGGATGTGTTCTGATTGGGCCAGCTTCCATCACGTGCCCATCTGTGGCCCAATCCCTGCGACCACGTGGATGCAGGGCTCTGATTGGTCAGACCTGGAGTGGAGCCCCACCCTGAGCTGTGGGCGGAGGCCTGGGGAGAGGTGGATCGCCAGTCACACGTCCAGCGCTGTTAGCGGAAGGGAGGAGGGTTGGGGGGCAGACCGCCACCTGCCCGCCCTGGTGTCATGGCCGGAGCCCAGAGGACCAGGAGGCATTGGCAAACTTAGCCGTGGAGACAGGCAATTATTGTTGCCAGGAAGATAATATGCTGGAAATGGAATGAAGGAGCCTCTGAAATGGGCTACTTAATGAATTTCCTTTCTTAGTTTAAGAACCTCTGATAGATTTAGTATTCTGGGTCTCTTTTTTTTTTGAGGGGGAGGGAGTTGTCTTTCTTCTTTTTATGTTACTTTAAAACTAAGGCCAATCACTTAATCTTGGTCTTTTAGCTCCTTCGTTTGGAACATTGTGAGCTTCCCTCTCAGAGAGGGGAGATCTGTACAGAGCAGATAACAGATTCCATTCAGTCCAGTTCAACAAACAGGGCGCGAAGCCCCGGGGCCTGGGCCAGCCTCCACAGGCCTGGCAGCAGATGAATCCTCGGCAGTGTGGGAAGCGCTGTAACAGCTCCAAAACAGGGCACTGCAGCCCCTCAGGGCAGGACAGTCAGGAAGGGCTTCCCAGAGGAAGTGACACGGAGCTGGACCTGGAGGGATGACCATGAGTTCCTCCCATGGCAGAGAAGAGGAGGGGAGCTTGATGCTGAAGGGGCTGCTTGTGCCAAGGGACCAAGAGGTGAGGTACTTGCTGGTTTGGGGGATGGGCCTAGGCCACTGGTTCCAGAGTGCATTCTGGCGTCTGCCTGGAGGAGACTGAAGAGTGACAGGCTGAAGGTGGGGGCAGACAGCAGGCAAGATGCTGTGGTAGAGGTCCAGGCATGAGCCTGTGGGGCATCTGGTTAAAATGTATTCTGTTCTCTAGCAGGTCTGGGGCGAGAGAGTCTGTTTCTAACCAGCTCTCAGGTGACGTCAGTGCTACTGGTCCGAGACGATACTTTGAGTGGCGAGGCTCAGACCTCTGGCCATTCTCCCCTCTGTTGCCTGTAGTCAGCTGGTTTCTCAGTCTTGCAGTGCAGGGTCTTCCTGCTTATCTCCCCTACTCTGCCTGTCCGTGACACCTCCTCACCCACCACCGCAAGTTGGCTTCCAGAAAGAAGGCGCCAGGATGAGGCTGTGCGATCTCACCTTTGGTCCCGGCAGGCCTGCCCTGGGCTGAGACTTCTGCAGGACAGAATGCTCCGCCCGAGCTCAGGGTCTGGGTTCTGTGCAGTGCGGCACGAAGGGGACCCGGCCTCCACGGAGTATCACACCTGCTCACAGAGCCGTGGGACGTGGGCCTCGGGGCCAAGGCTTGGCTTGATGCCTTAGAAGTCATGCTCTGTGTTTTCCAGGGACAGAGGGTCTCGCAGATGGCCCCGCTCCCAGGGGCAGAGCTTGTGCAGAGGCCGCTGCAGCTCTACCGATACCTGATGCGCTGTTGCCAGCAGCTGCCCACCAAGGGCATCCAGGAGCATTACAGACATGCTGTCAGGCAGGTGGGAGCAGCGGTACTGGGCTCGGGATGGGGGGTTCCCATGATAGAGGGCTTGTCTCAGGGCTGGGGGCAGGGGACAGGGATGGTCTTTCGGGTGGTGGTGGAGGGGAGGGGCGGCAGTCTGGTAAGAGCCACCAAAAACCACAGCCCAGCTCCTCTCTCTGATTTCTGCTCGGAAAACAGAAGATGTATCATCCAGCACATCAGCTTGTGCCAGGGCTCAAATAAGGCAGCTAAATGGATAATTAAAATAGAGTATGGGCCATAACATCATTTTGACCGGCATTAATGCACAGCCTGGATTTACTCATGAGAAAACATCAGGAAAATCCAGACAGAGGGACCATCTCCCACACCGCTGGCCTCGGCTCATCCAACATGGCAGTGTCGGGAAGCCCAGAGAAAGGCAGACCTGCTCTGCTTTCAAGAGGACTAAAGAGATGTGACCATGAAATGTAATGAGTGGATTGGATTCTGGACCAGAAAAAACAATGATTAAAAAGGACGTTATTAGGGTGCCTGGGTGGCTCAGTTGTTAAGCGTCTGCCTTTGGCTCAGGTCATGATCCCAGGGTTCTGGGATCGAGTCCCGCATCGGGCTCCTTGCTCGGCAGGAAGCCTGCTTCTCCCTCTCCCATTCCCCCTGCTTGTGTTCCTGCTCTCGCTATCTCTCTCTCTGTCAAATAAATAAATAAAATCTTAAAAAAAAAAAAAAAAAAAAAGGACGTTATTGGAGACCTTCATGAATTGGAATATGGGCTGTAGATGAGATGATAGTATTATATTAATGTTGAATTTCCTGAATTTGACTACTGTCGTTATGTAATCTCCTCGTTAAAACACACTGAAGCATTTAGGGGTCAAGGGTAACTTCTAATTGCTCCCAGAAAATGATAAAGCAAATGTGAGATGTTCACCATTGGTGATTCTGGTAGGGAATTTGTTTATATTCTTGCAGCTTTTCTGTAGGTTAGAAATTATTTCAAAAAAAAAAAAAAAACGAATACAAATGTAATGTGGAAAGTAAAAAAATCAATAAAGGTAGCAACAGACAGGCTGTGAAAACATGGAGGAGGGAGCAGCTAGCTTCCTGAGGGCATTAGGGAGGACTTCCCAGAGTGAGCATTTGAGGTGCTCCTGAAGACAAATAGGAGGACCTGTGGGGTCAAGAGTGACTGGGCAGGGGAGGTACCAGGTACCCTTCTGGAGGGCCGTGAGTGCCACACCAGTGAACCCAAATCTCGTTCCTTCTCAAGGGTGAACATCTGGTCAAAGGCAAAGAGCAGCCCCACGTTGCTCTGCACCGGGCCTGGCTGGAGTCTCCAGTCACCCCCTCCACGGCCCCCACTCTGCTTGGCCTTCCAGCATGGGCCTGGAGAGGCCCTGTTTCTTCCTATTGTGCAGCCTGGTGCAAGCAGCTCCCTGGGGGGAGCAAATGGAACCGAGAGGTGGAAGTTTCCTGGGGCCCCTGCTGCCTGATAACCTTTGGGCCCAGCCTGATTTGGGGTAACTTGGGGGCCAGTCTTCCATCTTGTAGCTGCTCTGCTGGCAGGAGGACCGGCTGTGTAGTTAGAATGGACCGGGATTTGAATGCTGGCGCCATGCACAGTCCCAGTTAGGGCGTCTGGGCCTCTGTTTCCTCATCTGTAGGTGGGATCATCCTAACTCTCTCTGGAGGCCTAAGAGCCATGCTGAGTGCAAAGTGGCCGCAGTGTGTCTGGCCTGTGCCTGGTGCTCTGAAGATGCTGATCCTGTGAATTTTGCCTTGTCATCTTTCTTTTATGCTTAAACTTTCAGAGTTTCCGGGTTCATTCAGATGAAGACAATCCTGAGAGAATCCAGCAGATTATTAAAAGAGCCATTGAAGATGCAGACTGGATCATGAACAAAGTAAGTGCTTGGCTCCCGGCTCCCCCTGCCCGCTGGGGGGTTGACAGCGGTAATCTCCATGGCCACCAGGGGTCGCCCCTGTCCCACAGTTGAGCCCTATCAGGCCTGCAGAGGCACCCTACAGCCCCAGCCAGCCGCTCCCCTCTTCCAGAAGCCCAGAGGCGGTGGCAGATGCCTTTCTGGTTGCATCTGTTTTCTGCAATGGGTGGGGAGTTCTCAGTCCCTAAAGGCCAACAGTGCTGAATAAGCTGAGACGGGGTAGCAGGAAGAAGGAAGAGAAAGGTCTTCTTGGAAGCAATAGTGCCAGGACTAGCAGCAGCCTTGCGATGCCTCAGACGGGAAAGCTGTGTTGGGGCGTAGTGAGTTCCCCGTCTCCAGGGGTATTCATACTGAGGCAGGGTTATTGAGGAAACATTCAAGTATCTATTTTGGTAGAGGAAGGGAGGGAGTCAGGAAGACAGACTAACTTGCTGGTCCTTACCCACTGGTGTTAGAACAACCTAGAGAACTAGGTGGAGCATGCCCCCCCCACCCACCCATCCTTCTAAATCAGAGTCTCCAAATGTGGGGGTCGGGGTTTGTTTTAAAAACTCAGTGATTGGACTAGATGGCCTCTGAGGATCTTCCTCTCCCTGAGATATTTTTTTCTTTGAACCAAGATTCAGCTTAAAGAACAGGATGGGCATGCCCCGCATTCCTTTCTGACATTCCCGTATCTGTCTTATGTGCGCCCTCTTAGCCCATCAGCTTCCTTTTCCATTAAAGAAGAAAGGGGGGCCCGGTGCCAGCTAGAGATTTGACTGGTACCTGCCCCCCTACCTCGGAGGAGCCCCTGCAGAAGGCAGCTAAGGCTCAGAAGAACATGGTTCTCGGGATTTCCTGGGTCTTCCCTCCCCCATTGGCTTCCCTCACCCACTTCTAATGATCTCTCTGCCTTACAGTATAAGAAACAAAACTGAGATGCCGGGGCCTAGAGAACCAAGCTGTCCTGAAGACATTGAGGTTGAGAGACCTTGCTTCTCCTGGAAGTCAGCAGCGGCAGCCGTTTTGGAATATCCATCGCCCTTATTGGCTGAGAGCAGGAAATCAGGGGTAGGAGAAGCTGACGTCTGCTCAGCTGGCTCTTCTTTCCACGTGTATGTCCCAGCATCCTTTATGTTTGCTTTTCTGGCCACTGCCACGGGAGATTTGGGGAGAATATGTTTTGTCACTTTGCTCCGAAGGTGCTGCATGTATTCTGGGTGTTGTCCTTTGAGACCCAGAGTGGGCATCCCCTCGGGCTGTCCAGGGAGGACAGGGCATGGGTTTTCGAACCAGCCAGGTCTGGATTTGAATCTCAGTTCTGCGGCTTTTCAAGGGTGTTGCCTTTGAGCTCAGCCTCCTCCTGTGTGAAGATTAAGTATAAGGAAGTCGAAGAGCTTCAAACATCCCCCTGAGGAGGCCATCCTCCACTGTGCCTTCCTCCCCGCCCGCAGTGCTCCACATGTCTCTCTGGCACACTCCTCGTCGGGCCCGGGGGATTGTGGGCCTGCCCTGTCCTGCTTGTTGTCCCTGAACGCTCATGGCCCCACCATGCCCAGCAGTCCCCCAAGCAGCCGCTCCTCCCAGCACTGTCCTTCCATGAAGTCCTGGTCCTCGCCTTCATGGAGTTTCTAGTGTCCCTGAAGTGGTGAAACTCACGCTGCGTGGAACAAGGAAGAAGGGCAGAGCAGCTACAGCGGATGCCGAAGTGTGCAGACCTCTGTGAACCTGCGATCTCTCCTGCTGGCCCTTCCCTGCTTTGCCAATGTCTTGGAAGGAAGAATGGAGGCAGGGCAGCAAGGAGGGAGGTGGGGAGCAAGCATTCCTGTGGGATATGGTGAGCCTGAAACCCATGGAGTGAGACTGGGTCGCATCCCAATGCCATAGAAGTCGTTCGTAGGGGAACTTACCTGGCCTGTTTCAGCCTTGGTTTCCCCATCTCCAGTGCAGTGATGCCCCCACCTACCTGCCTGGACTGCAACAAGGAGTACTGAGCTCTAACGCATGCCAGGTGCTTCTTGCAGAAGCTGGCTCAGGGAGCCGGCTGCACTGCTGTGGCCGGTCACCACAGTTAGGGAGCCCTGCTTTGCAGACTGGGAGATGGCAGCACAGACAGGTCGAACCCCTTTTCAAGGTCACCAAGCTACTAAGCGAGGTCTGTGTGAATCTACCAAACAGTACAGATTTGGGAGGGAAGGGGGAGCAGCAGAGGGAGGGAAAGCGTCCAGGAAGGACTCGGGGGGCTGGCCAGAGCAGGAGGGGCAGCCAAAAGAGGAGGAGCCACACCGGACTTGCGTATCCCCAAGGACTCTCAGCCAGAGGGATGAGCCAGCAGGTTCGTGACCCTGCAATGAATTATAGGACTTAAAGTGACTCAGGGACATCTGTATGGACTGATCAGCAGGTAATGAAGTAAATATATCGATTTCTGAAAGCTCTGGTGTCTTTTTTTTTTTTTAAAGATTTTATTTATTTATTTGACAGAGAGAGACACGTGAGAGCAGGAACACAAGAAGGGGGAGTGGGAGAGGGAGAAGCAGGCCTCCCGCAGAGCAGGGAGCCCGATGTGGGACTCGATCCCAGGATCCTGGGATCATGACCTGAGCCGAAGGCAGACGCTTAACGACTGAGCCACCCAGGCGCCCTGAAAGCTCTGGTGTCTTGAGTGCTGTGCTCATTCATTCCCCAAACACATGCTGTTCCCCATTGTGTGCTATTGTCCTAGGTATTGGGGACTTAGGGACAGGCCTATACAATAGGGATCGTTCTTCAGGAGGGGATCATTCTTCAGAGGGCAGGTCTCTCTTTTGTTTAGATTTTTCTTGTTTTCTAATAATGGGGGAGGCTGGTATGTAGTGATTATTTCTTGGCCAAGTATTGGTTGGGGGGGAGGCGTGGGGGTCTCTCCTTATTACTGATGCTCAGGGGCTGATATGGAGGGGGGAACACTCACTCTGACAGCATGATGGGTAGGCGTGGGTGGCTCCCACAAGAAGTTTGTCTTGAGGCAGAGAAAAGACCTTCCCCCAAGCACAGATTGTCAAGAATTACAACCCAAACTTCCTCCCAACTTCTGAAATGAACCTGTCCCTCTGTCCATCTTGTTTCCCTGGGGGATGGGGATTAACATGAGCATCAGGGGCAAAGAAAACCAAACTACCTTTGTTGAATGAGAGAGAGAAACTTGGCAGGTTCAATGTGAGGGAATGACCTTGGGTTTTTTGTTGTTGTTGTCTTTTAAGATTTTATTTATTTGAGAGAGAGAGAGAGAGTACAAGCGGGGTGAGGGGCAGAGGGAGAGGAAGAAGCAAGCTCCCCGCTGAGCAGGGAGCCCTATGCAGGGTTCAATCCCAGGGTCCTGGGATCATGACCTGAGCCAAAGGCAGACACTTAACCGACTAAGCCACCCAGGTGCCCCAGCAATGACCTTGTTAACAATGGGGTGGGTGACTGTAGTTCAAGGGAAACACCAGAAGTTCAAGAATCGTGCCTTAAGAGATTAAGAGCTACCTCCACCTCCACCTCCTAACTGCTATTGCCTGCTGCCAATACCATGGAGTCACACATCTCTGGAGACAGAGAATCTCTTCCCACCAACATCTGGGGAGGTACCTCATTCTCTTTGAGCTTTGAGCAATGAGTGCACAAGAGGAGCTTCATCAGACTTCTGAAGCTGACTACAGATCATAACCTTGAGATTGGTTGAGCCCATCAGCCCCTATGCTTGTCAATTTCAGCCCCTAGCCGAAAGCAGCCATCTCTAATCAGAAGTCTCACATACTCCCATTCCCAAACTGATGTGGGTTTCTTACCCCCATCGCTGGCCTCACTCCCACCCTGTCCATGATGTGCTCCGGAACCCTTGCACCTTGCATGTAGATTCCTTACTCTCCCAGCACTCCAACCTGTTCATTCCATGTGTATTTGCCCAAGCTTCTCCTCCTGTCTGCGGTGCCCTTCTTAGCTTATTCACCTGAAAAAGATCTTTTCTCTGTCAAGACTGAGCTATCGCATTATTTCTATGAAGATGTTCTTTACTCCCCTAGCATTACATCTTCCAAGATTTTTTTCATGCTAACTGGTGAATGAAAACCAATCAGATGACAACTGGTTCCTTGAAAAATGAATGCAATCTTTAGGCCAAATTAAGAAAGACATGGGATCAAGAAGAAGGGAGTCATTAACATAAGAATAAAAAACAAACAAAAATAATAATAATAATAATAAATAAAAGAAAAAAAGAAAAAAAAAGGGAGTGAAATCTAGAGCAGTGATTTTCAGGTGTGGTCCATGGCCTTCTGGGAATCTCCCAAGCCCTCTCATGGGATCCTCAAAGTCAAAACTACGTTCATAATAACCCTAAGACTTTTTCTTTCCCACTCTGTGAACATTTGTACTGATGGTACAAAAACAATGATGAGTAAAACTGCTGCTGGTACCTAAGCATGAATCAGGATAGGGATTATCACCACCGGCTTACTCATGAATGTCCCTGATGAAACAGCAAAATGTTTAATTTTGTTAAATCTCAATCCTTGAGTATAAAAATATTCTGTGCAATGAGCTGAAAGCACACATAAAGCATTTGTATTGCACACATAAGTAGAACATTTGTCCAGAGGAAAAGCACACAATTATTTGAGGTGTGAGCTAAATAAACTGCTTTATTCACAGAATACCATTTTTGTTGTTGTTGTTATTGAAATAGTGACTGGCAAACTGGTTGGATCTGTCCTCTATCATGTTAATCATCCTTCAGAGTTTCATTTCCTCTGTAGTGTTGCCATTCATTCATGTATTCACCAATTCATTAATTCAGCAGACACTGAGCACTCATGTATCAAAAATTCCATCTATGTCTCCATCTAGGTGAGATTATGGGTGGTTTAATTTGCTCCCCCACTGATCTGCATGGTTTCTGGAAATGTGTGGAGAGATTTAGTTTTAGGCACCCATGATGACCCCCAGGAATCTAGAAGTCTCTTTCATACCAATTTTAGGGAAAAAGTTTTTTTCCCTAAAATTTTCCTATTTATAGACATTAGCCCGCATTTACACACACATACATAACATTTGTTGCTAACAAGTCTGACTGGAAAATGGTGAATCACTTTGAAAACAGTTTTTTTCTGACATTGTCACCTTCCTATTACCATAAATCTTTAAAATTCTCGAACTGGAGAGATAAGAGGAATTGTCCAGGGGGTCAACTTGGTAGGTCAGCCTCAGCTTCCAGCCCCCAGGCATGGAGGTAAATGAACATTCTCATCCTTTTCTTCATCTTGGCTGCGGTGATTTCATTGCTCTCTCTCTGGCTCCGGATGCTGTATCTTTCTCTTGCATACTTGGCTATGTCAGAAACCTCTGCTTGAGGAACTTGCAACTCTTAGACACTGCTGGTGGGAATGTAAAATGGTGCAGCTGCTTTGGAAAACAGTTTGGATTTTTCTCAAAATGTTAAATGTGGAGTTACCATATGACCCAGCAATTCTATACACAAATCTGTATATATACCCAAGGGGAATGACATATGTTCACAGAAAAAAACCTGTATGCAAATGTTCATGGCTTTATTTATGAGTCCAAAAAAAAAGCAAACAACCTAATGTCCATCAGCGGATGAACAGATGAATAAAATGTAGCACAGTCATACAGTAGAATATTATTTGGTAATAAAAAAACATGTAAACCCTGCAAAATGGGTGAACCCTGAAAACACAATGCTAAGTGTAAGAAGCCAGTCACAAAAGATAAGGATATAATGTACGATTCCATGTATACAAAATATCTGTAATAGGAGAATCTATGGAGACAGGAAGTAGATTAGGCCAGGGCTGAGAGGGGGGCAGGTGTTGGCTGGAATGGGAGTGACTGCTAATTGGTACAGGGTTTCTTCTTGGAATTTTAAAATTAGAATTTTAAAATTAGTTTAAAATTAGATTGGGGTGATGGCTGTACAACTCTGTTGAATACATTAAAAATGACTGAATTGGGGGCGCCTGGGTGGATCAGTTGGTTAAATGTGCGACTCTTGATTTCAGCTCAGGTCTTGATCTCAGGGTTCTGAGTGCAAGCCCCGTGTTGGGCTCCAGGCTGGGTGTGGAGCCTACTTAAAACAAAAACAAAAACCACTGAATTGTACAGTTTAAATATGTGAATTGTATGGTATGTGAATTATATCTCAATAAAACTGCCAAGAAGAAATCAAATTCCAGGAGAAAACCAAACAAATCTCAGTGTGTCTGGAGGATACCACTTAAATTGTCACCAATTTCTAGAAAATTCTCACCTTCTCAATTAGTCTCAGTTGAAAGGAACAATTGTCTTTTCCCTTCAGTGGTGTCTGAAGTTGAATTTTTCAACTGGGCTTCTCCTGATGCCTTCTTCACCACCCTGCCCTCAGCTTGTAATCCTGTGGGGGTGGTTCTCAACTTTTCTTCAGCAAACTAAGCCAAGAGAGGCTAAGACATTTGTCCAAGGTCACATCTCAAGAACATACATGTCCCAAGTTAAATCCTTTCTAGAGGTTGAAGGCAGCTCTTCCAAAGGTATGAAGAGATGATAACCAATCTCCATTAAGTTATACTTGAAAAATATTTTATTCTCATCCCCTCTTAGAAGTCTTAAGAGGCACAAAAAGACTTGGGGAAATGAAGTGACTTTGCATTACAAATAATTTAACTGAGTTTTTAACTGGAGTGCCCTCAACTTGTCACCTCTGCCTGAAGCAACCTCAACCCATTATTCCCATTATTGTCACTTTTTATGTATGCTAGGGAATGAAAAGGGTTGCCGAGCACTGGAGTCTTCTTGGTGTTTTCTGTGGCTGGAAGCACGAACTGAGGTGTCTCTCTGACTTGTATATGGCCACCACAACCCAGAAAAAGAGGCTTGATATTGTAGGGGATGGACTAATAACTACATGACCTTGGGGGATGTTACCTAACCTCGTTAAGCGTCAATTTTGTCATTTGTGTAAGAGAGATGGAAATCATAGCTGTCTCCCGGTGTAGTTGTAAGGATCCAATGGGATGCTGCATGGAACATGCTTAGCTAGAGCCTGGTACACAGCTAGCACTCAATAAATGTAGCTGCTGTACTTGTTAATTGCATGTAGTCTCCCTGCACTGGTGGTTGGGGTGAGTTTGGGCTTGCAGACTGACTTCTTTGCATATTAGTTCACTGATCAGGGAGAACAAACTCATTTTAAGATTTCCCTAATATCTTCCATCATAACCGAGAAGAGAAAACTGAGGAGAGAAACCAGGAGCATGTCCAAGTGGTCTCTGATGTAGCTACATGATCAATGTCATGAGGCTCTTAAAGGGATGATAATTTAAAATATATATATATATTTTAAAGATTTTTATTTATTTATTTGATAGAGAGAGACACAGCGAGAGAGGGACCACAAGCAGAGGGAGTGGGAGAGGGAGAAGCAGGCTTCCCGCTGAGCAGGGAGCCCGACGCGGGGCTCGA